CCAATCAGTTATCAGTCACCAATCGATCACCAATCAGGTACCTGATTGGTAACCGATTAGTAACTGATTGATGCCTGATTTTTCACTTTTTGATCTGTGTGAGCCAAGGGTGATCAACCCCTATATTTGAGTTTTTTCTGATATCTTATCAAATATATTATTATATTTGTTATCTTTTCCTTTAAATAGTAATGCAGGCAAATTAGGATCCTGGACATTACATATACAACTCAGTGGTAACTTTTTCGCAGATTAACCTAAATTTCACAAAAAAAAAATCAGTTTTTTGTGATTATCTTGACATCCAGTGATTCAATTTGTATGAACGTTTTTTGTTTTGTAACTTTCATTGAGCTCTACAAAATAAAAAAAATCTGCATGAATCAGATTACTGGATACTGAGATAATCACAAAAAATGGAAAATAAAAAAAGAGTAAATTGGATCTTTTTTGGCAAAAAGTCAGTTGTGAGTTCTATAAGAAATATCCAGGATCCTGGCAAATTCGCCTTCAATTTTATTTTAAAAGATTATTATTAGTAAAGTTTTAATTTTACCCAAAATGTCATATAATTCTGCAAGTATAATAATCAATATAATGATTATTAAATATATGTTATATAGCTAAATATTAAATTTTAACCAGAAATTAACCTGCAAAATAAATATCAAAATTGTTCATATTTTTTTTTACACTTTCAATTTTTTATTTTATTTTTTATTTTTAATATGAAGAATGATAATAAAGAGGAATATGAATATATTATTGAATTTTTAAGAAACATTTTACAATCAGATATTGATAATAAATAGGATAATATAGATAATAATAATATTGAAATTAAAGAAATTAAAGAAGAAAATATTAAAAATAGAGAAAGAAGTAAAGAAAGAAACAAAGATAGAAATAAAGAATTAAAGATAGAGATAGCAGTAGTAAAAATAGTAGAAAAATAGGCTATGATAATGAAAAGAAACAGATTATGCAATTTTTAGCTTTACCTTTTTTTAATATTTTATAATACTCTAAATTTTTACATGAATTTATAGTAAATTTACCTATAACTACCAATTTAATTTTCTAATATTCTATTCCATTTTTAATCTCTTTTTTTTTTAGAACAAATAAAAATAATTGTTAAAAATACTAATACATATGCTTATATAAAAAATAGAGAAGAAGAGCATAAGTGAGAAAAGTTAACAATAAAGGAATTTAAAATATGGTTAGCAATAGTGATATATACTGGTATTATTAAATTATCTAGTATTTGGAATTATTAAAATAAAGATTGTAAATTTTCTGAATATAAAAATTGCAAATTTCATATCACTACTCTGTTTTGAATATAATTTTATGCTATTTTATTAAATTCATTTAACTAATTTGAAATTATGATTATTAATAATACTAGTATTCATCCATTATCTACATCAACAGTTAATATGTATTACTTAAAAAATGTAAAATTAAATAATATAATATAAGTAATAATGATTTTTTTGTTTTTATTATTGTAAAGGTTAATTTATACAACAGGTTTTGAAATCTTATTATTTATTTTTTATTATATAATTTTTAAAGAAATTATTATAAAAAAAAATGCTATAATTCCAGTCAGAATTAAAAGATCTACAAAGATTTTCCTTTTTTGAAAATTTGAGCAATGCAAATAAATTCAACTTCTTCATCTTTGGTTTTCAACAAAAAGCTGAGAATAATTGGTTAAGCTAAATATCACAACGTATTCACTACATTTGTATTACTATAATTATGAATAGATTGTAAAGTGTTAATAGAATTAATTGACATAATCCAGAAGATCTCAAGGAATACATCGATCAACTTTTGATTCCAGTAACGTGGTAGATAAATTGTGCATAATCCTTCGCTCAAAGTAAAATTTATTTCATCTACACAAGCAAAAAACTTGTATTTATCAGGCTTAAAATTTTTTGCATTCGCAATGAATCCATTCTTATAAATACTAGTGATGCACGTTTTTTCCACCATGAATCCTTTTACTGAAGGATTTCTTTTGAATTTCTTAATACATCTAATCCAACTCGAATCTGAGAATACTTCCATTTTGCCCTTTTCATAGAAGTAATCAGCCATACAATTTCGTACAAATCCAGACGCACAATAACAGCAGTTTTCACTAATGTAGAAAAATCGGTGGTCATAATCAACATCTCTATATCCGGTTGAAGGTCGACTATTTGTCAGAAACAATGACATCAATTTTACGTGGCTGTAAACATAATTAAAAGTCAGTTTCAATTATTCTATCAGTTGTAAAACAGACTAAAATACATACAAATCCCATTTGCTTTCTGACACATTATCTGAAAATATCACCATTAGCTTTTGTATCTTCTCTATTAATAGTATATTTAAGCATCTTTAAAAGATCCCTTGGAACTTAGGAGATAGCTCAGAAAGAGTGGATTTCAGCCGGTGATATATTCAGTCTCTTCCCTTTGTTGCTGATTCATCAATGGCAAATCAACATGTTTCTTCCACCATTGTGTCATTTCATTCTAATGTAAATATATATTACATTAGTACACAGAACATTCAAGCATTGAGCATTTAATTTAGTCTTACCTCATCAAATCCTCCATAAAGTTCAATCTTTTTCTTGTTAGCTTGTTTTATTGAAAGATGCAATGCTGATGTATTGTTTGCTGATGAACTCTTAATATAATAATGGTTTATGGACATTTCATTGAGGGAACTTTTGATTTTTTTCTTAAGTAAATCATCAATTCCGGTATCGTTATAACTATCTAAAGCATTCATCTGATCTACAATAAAATATAACTGTTCTTCCTGTTCTGGAGGATTACAAAATTCAATGATATCATCAAGTGTTGTGCAGGAATGGATTCCGCTCATTTTCACACTATCATCTGAGTAGGTGAGAAATACCTAATTCACGGCAATCTGGGAGGTATACTACACGCCTTTTAGTTTTAAGAAGAAAACATACTATTGTTGCAAGGATATACGATTTCCCATATCCCATAGTGCCATAAATGAAAAAATCCATATAACCATTCCCAGATTCAAGTTCGTTAATAGTCTTTAGAACTTTGTCAAATGCCTTCCTTCCCATATACAAAAATTTATTATCACGAATAGAAAATCTTTCTACTGGTCTTCTCTCGCCAATGAATGGGAATGGTAGTGAAATTAAATTTTCAGGATTTGAGTAAACATTAGGATCATCGGGAAGTTTCTTTATATCCTCCATGATTTTTTGTGAACTAGTAAGGATTTTCTCTGGAACTAAAATAATTATGTGTTAGATAAAATATTGATGTTTTTGTTCATCAAGACATTATAAACCCACCTGTTAATTTGCTTTTTTTTCGGTCTTGGTCTTCATTAACATCGTCCAAATCCAATTTTCTTTTGCCTGATCGAATAAAAAATACAAGATGTGAGATAACGCGAATTTCTTGTTCGAGAGGTAAACCATTGGGAGACACTTACCAGTGGTGGCGGGCGTTGGCGTTGGCATTTTTACGATTATATGGATCACACCTCTCGGAGGGTCAACGGAAAAAACATCTTTAAGGACCATAACTTTTTACCATTGAGTTATGTTTAATGAAAGTTTCGGTATTACTATCCTCAATATCTTCAAGTGCTTCGATGAAATCTTCGACCTTCCATAGCGTCCATTGATTAGCCTTGTTGGAACCTTCTTCATTCCCGACTAACTCTTTCCATATCAATTTCTTGAGTTAAAAAGTGGTGAGATCGTTTTCATGGAGTGTTTTACCATCAATAGTGTTATTCTCTTCAGTAATGTGAACCGCGGACGATTCGCCAAGAGGTTTAGCCAGAACAACAAAAAAATATACGCATTTTGACCCTATATCTGCAAACGTGAAAAATGAGAGTTAAAAATGAGAGTGAGTTAAAAACAAAGTTCAAAAATAATTAGCTTTCAGAAAAATACAAATAAGGTTGACTGGCGGGTAGAGAAATTTCCTCGATTTTCGTTTGCTCTTGGGATGGCGAAAGAGTTTGTACCCGGAACGGCGAAAGTATTCGAGATAGCGAAGAATAGTTTGACATTTTGATTATGCGACATATATATATGTTTCTATAAATGGTTGTTGACTAATTACTACGAACTGTGAGTCAGTAATTCTTACTCTGACGGTCTCTTTTTCCTTGAATTACTGAATTACGAAAAAAAAAATTTGATTCAAAAATCAGTCACATGTCACAATGTCACATGAGTGCCGATCAAAATAATCATTGTGGCGAAACTAATGTTCCGGACAAGACTACGCAATATAAGATATGAATATTTCGGTTATGACTGTGCATTTACAAGGAAGCGACCCAGAGCTTGCAAAGCAAATTTCTATTTTTTTGTTCAGAACTTTCGAGGACATTATTAGGCAGAGATTGGTGAGTTTTAATATTGCTAATTTATTTCTGGCTCCGCGTGTTCTATGCAATAACTGACGACCATTTTATTCTTTCCAGAATATCGACGTTGGAATAAATGAAATTAGAGTTAATGTTAGGATATTGTGTTAGTATGTAGATAGCGTATGTAGATAGCTAAACGAAACACCGGCAGGCATTAGTATAGAAACTTTATTTAACTTTGTAAAACATTACCGATCTTGTAATTTATTTTTTACATCAATAAATCAGAAATTCTGATCGTGACATTTTGTCACGGTTTTTTTATCTATGCTACCGAACTTTTGAATTATTCCATTTCATATAAAAAATTATCATCGAACATGTAATCCACTGATTCATTGAGAGAATTAAATGCCAAGCTCTTAGCTGAGATTGCCAAACTTAGGAAGGAGAATGCTGAGATTCCTGAACTTAGAGAGAAGTTACTAATATTTGCTGAGGTTGAGGCTGAGAATGCGAGGCTGAAGCAAATTATTAATTATAAATATATTTAATTATACTAAATTAAACAAATATTTGAGAGTTTGATTTAGTTTGAAGTAATAATTATCAACTTAAAAGAATTTTAATAAGCTTAAAAGATTTAAAAAAAAAGCTAGTTCTTTTTCATTTGAAGATATGGGCTCTTTGCAATAAAAAAGGAAAAACTACTAGAAAAATTAAATTTATATTTATATATTAAAAATACTTCAAATATTGTAATTTATTCAGAATTTATAGCATTAATTAATTAAAAAATTTTTTTTTATTAGTTTTCCTTTTTTCTACTGCAAAGAGTCAAATGCAGGAAAAGAAAAAACAAAAAAAAGAGCCCCACATTTAAAATGAAAACAAAAAAAAAACAAAAATGTAAAAATAAGGAAACAGTCAGTAACAAAGCCACCCTACTACANCTCTAATATAATTAAACTACAAACCACTCGTCATACCGGTAGTACCCTACGTGTGTACTGTCGAGTGATCGTTTGACTCCGTAGGTAGACTTTGTTTAGTAACAGGTCATCTTAGCCATAAAGGCCCTATCTTCAATGTCTAGTGATCACGGGACCCAGTCTATATAATTTATAATTATATATATATTTTTTTTAAATTTACAGTTTATTAACTATGACACTTGAATCCATACTATGTAGGTGTCGATTACACCACAAAAAATACAGAAAATAGGTCAACCACCCCCCGAAGTGCAATGTGAGAATGCGCTAATAAACCTGATGCAAATGCACCATAGAACTAAAGAAAAATGCAGGAAAACAAAAAACAAAAAAAAAGAGCCCTACATTTAAAAAGAAAATAAAAAACAAAATTAAAAATAGGGAAACAGTCAGTAACGAAGCCACCCTACTACAACTACACTCCTAAAACTAGGACTATCTAACCATTCTTTCGAAATTATATTATGACGCTCCCAATTTTCTAAGCATCGACCTTATTTCTGCTAAAATAGTAAGCTTGTCAATACCGCCCATAGCCTTATCTATGTTCTTGATTTCCTTGGCTATCTTTGTCTTCTTACTCGACTGTGTGTTAGTAGTATTTGTTCGAACCTTGGAGTCTCCTTCTTAATTCACCTTCTGAAGATTCCTCCTTCTTTGCTTCAAGTTAGGGGTAAAGTACATCATCCAATCACCAGTAAATTCGTCTAAGCTAAATGGCTTACCAATGACCTTATTCAAGTCAGCCCACGATTCGTAGTAAGTAATTAACTTGCGGGTATCCCAATCTTGAATTAGTTTAAATGCTTTGCATCCAATGGGTGCAAGAATAGAGTGAGCATGGTTTTCCGGGTATAAAGTTGCTGTGTTTACTGAAGCAGGAACTCCCTTAATCACAGCCTGGAATTGTTCCCGTTCTTTTCTTTGTTTGAGATCCCAGTTAGCCGGAAACCATCGTATGGGTAATCCTCCAAGTGGAGCTGTCCAAGCTCCATCATTCCATAGTTTTGTCGCCTCTTGATTGAGTTCAATCGAAACTGTAACAGTAACGTATTTCTGTTGAGATTTAAATTTAATCGCAACTACTTGACCCCAGGCTTTGAGATGATTAAGCGTATCAAGTTGAGACCAGGTGGAGAGGATATCATAAACCGTAATTTTCCGGGTAAAATCCTTATTCGCGATCACATATCCAGTCATAACGGTACTAATAGTTTTAGGAGAAGTGGCAGCTGGTTGTTTTTTGGTAGTCTTAGAAGGACTTTGGCTAGCATTAGCTTTCAAAACGGGTGCTGTTTTCCTCTTTTTACCACCAGAAGGTGTAGGCGAGCTTGGTCTGCTGACATCATCTTTCGGGTCCTGTTTAACCATGTCAGCATATGAAACACGCTTTTGTTTACCTTTAGGCGTAAAAGGAGTGGTGGAAGCTGAGAGATGTGTGATTGGTTCCTCTTGTTGTGCTGCAACTTTTGATTGGTGTTTGGGCGTTTTTAGCGCTTCTAAAATTTCTATATCCATCGGTTGATCCTCTACAGATTCAGACGCGTCTGGTATTTATTTGGGTGACATCATCTGTTGTTGTACAAACTCTCTGCAAGCGCTTTCCATCCCTTTACTAACGCTGGCTTGGATAAAGTCAAAAAACTCATAAAAAAGAAAGAGTAAGTGGTATAAAAATTGTATGTCACTGATACCAAAGGTTGAGAGGGCTTCATGATGTTCCATTAATAAGTTGGCAAGGTATTCGCCATCGCCAGAAGCTTTTTCAACGGTTCGAGCAATATCTTCTTCAGTTAAACTGAAGGAACTATATTTTCTAAAGGCGTGGCTAACCGGTTCGTAATAAAGAGCTCTATTCACAACTGTGTCAAGGTCGTCGCCTTCATTAAAGGCTTTGGAAAAGTTTGTTATCGACGAGGAAGCCATAGTTTCAAAAAATTTTCCTTCAAAATTCCTATGGGAAAAAATGGTCCATACGATCAGCGGAAAGAGTTCCCCCTATAATTTATAATTATAAGTTATTGTACTTTACAATAATTAATATCACAATTATTAACCAATGGTAGCAAAGAATTAGTTAATAATTATAATATAAAGTACAATAATGATACTATTATATGGACTTTAATTAAATATAGCTTAATTATAACTTATTTTTAATTTTTTAAAAATAATAAAAAATAACAAAATTATCAGCAATTATATGCATTATTTATGATACATACAAGTATTTTTATTATACAAGAATTATTAAAACAAATTATATATTTTTTAAGTAATAAATAAATTTCTCTATTCCACTCTATTTATTTGCTAGCTTTAGTATAGATAGATGTAGTATTTTTATTTTATAAAAATACATTAAGTTAAAGAAGAATAAAGTAAAAAATTGATTTTAACTGGAAAGATTTCTAAAATTAGTATATAAAAAAGAATAAAAATTAATTTATAACTCAAACTAATCTATCTTAAAATATTACATTTCAATTTACTTTTAAATAAAAGTATCAAAAATATTGTATATATATTTATAAATATAATACATTTAAATTTTAGATTATATATAATAGTAGTAGAATTAAAATTTGAAATATTTTAATATATCTGCTTAATGCAATGATTATCTGGTTAACTATATAGTTATATATTTATAGTTTAAATTAGAATGTTTAAATATTTCTATCATACAGAGTTTTCTAAAATATCAATTTATAATGTTATTCATTTTGCCTAAGATTCCAGTAACTAAAACTTAATTTTTGTAAAATTACCAATATAATTATTGAAGAAATTGCTAGATTATATCTTAATTTAAAATATTTTAATCTGAAGGAGTATTATAAAATTAGCAAAAAAGCTGTGAATCAGGTTGTTTATTTAATCCAAATATCTATATTAAAATTTCAAAAATAGGACTATTACTAATTTTATTGGATTTTTTTAAATAAGGTGCTATTGCTAATAATCAGAATTTAGCTCTATCTCAGGTATACTGGCAACTAATTCCAATACATCTATAGCTGTAAACAAATTCAAGATATTTATTTCCATTTTAATAGCAAGAGCTTTTGATAACTTACTAGCCAATCAAGTAAAATGGTAGTATTCTACCAATCTAACTAATCTGAAGTAGTAATCATTAGCTTGAAAGAATTTTAAAAAATCTTACAGTAAAAATAGTTCACTTTAATTCTCAAATAAAATCATAGCATTAATGAAATACATCAATGCATCCAATGTATCATTTGTAATGAAGATATTATTGATATCACGTGATCGTAGATTTTTTGGATTTAAAGCAGTGATTTCCAAATTTTTATTTACTGATAATACTTTTCATAGCTTTAACCTCAAAATGACAGATCTTCAACCTGGAGGAAAAGACTTTTTAAACGTTTAGAAAAGATCATAGACATATAACGAACAGCATAAGAAAAGGTATTTTATTTTTTAAAATCGAGACAATATTGCACAGCCAAAGGAGGGTTCCGTCCCGCCTGAGGTGATGGTGGTTCCGTCCTATCGTATGATACCCGACTTCTTTAAGTCTTTAAGTTCTGCATAGCCTAATAATGGTTTCACTTATCATCTTTTTTTTCGAAGTTATCATCTGTAGATAATTTTTGGGGCAATATTGAAAGAAAAAAAAGTGTGTTCACGTGGAAAACGGGTGGAAAACATGACGGTGTGTATTATCTCATATTATCTTATATCATAATATATGTTACGTGTCCTAATATGTTTCCGCCAACTCTAGGATTCAGTCCGCAATAATACAGAAATAGAGGCACACAAGAAAGTTAAAAGGCTCTTGAATAAAGATCAAATTACATGGTTTTGAAGATGTTTTTAAGAAAAAAAGTTGGAAACCGACTTCCGAATTTACACAGTACATCAATCAATTTACTGAAGACGTATGTGATATATATATATATATAGAATAAAGATCCCGATTTACGCTGATAATAAGTATGATAAATAGAAATGAAATACGCGACGGATAAAATACGCGCACCACGCGTACCATTCTCGCCATTCGCGTACCGTGTAAAAGTAATCACGCGGCAACAACAGTTAGAACGCATAAAACCAGAGACCTCAGGATTATTATTCCTTCTTCAGCATCTAAATTGATATAAAGAAGATGTCGGCAAAACCTGAATTTGCAAAGAGTTTGCTATGCTAGTCGATGATTTATACATCTCATGCAAAGTACCTATTCATCATCTCTTACGTTACATTTTATAATAGTAATCAACAGATTTCTGCAGCATATGATCTTAAGATGTCCCGGGAGGAGTGATCCAGATACAGGCGAAGCGGAGCGCAAAAGGGAAGGCAAAAATCTCCATTAGTGTAATTAAGTATTTGTTCTTGGGAAGGACGATAAAGAGAATCTAAATGGAGTATTGTTCTATTCTGTGGGTGTTTTAAGGCTTTCATGAGTAACCAAGTTTGAATAAGTTTTATACATCCACTTGCATTTGATGAATCCGTACAATTTTCTTTAATCTGTAATATTATCTTATGATCATAAAACTATAAATTTATCTCATTAAGGAAATCAACAATGTGGTCGATAGTGCTTCGATAAAAATTTTAGGTCAAAGCTTGCAACAAATAGACGGATTAGACGGAATATGACGGTTGGTTTTCCATTAGGATGGATTACTGAGGAGAATGGGAACGGTAAAATGATCGGAAATAAAAAATCTTTTGTAATTTATTTTAGTACGATTAATATAATAAAGAATCTTGCATTAAAATTGATGATTTGTATATCAATTGTAATAATCAATCTTCGACCTTCATTTGTAGTATTCAAACGCATAATACATCCGGTTTTCTAGATGTCTAAGCAAGCACCTCTGATTTTTGAGAAAAAATAATCCATATCTGGTATAATCTAATCTATTTTGTGCTACGCTTTGCGTTCCATTGTAATAAATATATCAGTTTATCCAATTGTTAGTAGTCATAAAGCTAAACTATATCGTTCTAATCTACTATCGTTTTGAGAAGTACTGGAAGGTTTATTTTATTGTTACTGAAATGTGAATGGTGAATAAATCTCAAAGAAAGGACTGGATTCATAAATAGTAGATTTATGCCAAATAACATATTTCTGATTATTTGAGGCTTAATTAATTAATAAAACATTTAATATATCGTAACAAAATGGCAACATGGATTACTGATTTCAAAGTTTACACATCTAATGATCGCGGTTGCTCTGATTTCTTCTATGGTCATGAAATGCACCTGCAAGATCTTAACGAAAGTCACGGTGGAAAATACATTTATATCGGACGTAAACGTGAAAGAATCACCTCCGAAAATCATAAAGACGCGGTAACTTCCTTAGGTTTTCTTGCTTTCTCTAATAAACAATCGGAAAAACCAGTCGGTTGGGAATTCTGGGATGACCATGACTTGAACGAAGGTGCGGGTGGTAAATACATTTATATGGTTTGGAATAAAGGGGAAAAATGGCTAAACCCTATCGTGGAAATCGACTTTCGTGTCAGTGAAAATCGGGAAAATTGCGAAAAGAAAGGTGTTTCATGGATAAGAATAAATCAGAATTTATGCGAGGGTTCAAACGGAAATTATATATATTGTTACTACTTCAGGGGATAGCTTTTTTCTTTTCTGAAAGTCACATGATTGCTTAAACGCGTGATTTTTTAAATGTATATATGCGAATAGCGAAGCATTATTTCGATTTGTAATTCCAAAATTTTATTTGGCCAGAATATGTCATATTATTTTAGAGCGAAATAAAATGCTTCTAATATTTTTTGGTTTGGTACGATTACTGTACGAATTTATACTTCAAAAAAAAACTATTCTTATATTGGATTTATAAGGTAGTCAAATACAGGATATGCCCACTTGAGGCTATATGGTTCTCATATACAGAACTGCAACGTTTGAGTAGTAAGGCCGTCGGAATTCAGAAAAGGAAATTACAACAATAATTAATAATCAAATGCATTGTTGAAATTTCCTTTTTTGAATACCGACGGCTTTTAAATTTAATTTATATAGGTATAAAAAATTAATTATAGATCCAATAGTTCGATATAATGAACTTTCCTCCGTTCAGGTGATTTTGGGCCGTTGTATTAAATTTTCGATAAATCAAATATTTTTATTATATGCCGATTTATATGTTAAAAATATAAAATTCGGTATATCCAAAATATAACATTATAAAGTCATATTATATCGTTTTAAAATATGTTATATGCTACCGGAAGAGACTAAGTTGGCTGGAATTAGGATGATACCGGTTTACGCGAAAAAACAAATACTGGTTTATAACTAAACTTCGTTATGTACTGTGTATGTAATATCGCGAAATATTTAATGATAAAATTAATTATAAACGGTTTTGGTTTTTAAAAGAAAAAGTTCGTTATGGACCAAAATCAGATTCTGAATCGTTATATCGAGTTATGACTGTACTGGAGTCCAAAAAGTCATTATGGCCCTAATAAAAATTTTCAGAAAAATGATCATATGTCGGAGTTTCTTCGGAATAAAAACATCATTTTATCGGAGTTTTTTCCAGAATTCTTTTTATGGGTGGGCATATCTTACGTCCGAGATTTACTTTTACGGTAGTTTTACCATAAATGTAAAAAAATTATCCTTGATTAAAAAAATTTGTGCCACTAATGCAAATATTTTTTATATTTAACAAGGATCCCTTTTAACTGATTCGTAATATATGCACTATATGCATATTATTTCAAATCATCTATTTTAAGAAAACAATTTACAATTTCATTATACATAATCTGTAGGGACTTTAATTAGATGCCGCACCATAAGAAATACTTTTTTTTTTTTTTTTTTTTTTAACGAAAAAAAAAATGAAATTTCTAAAGAAATAACCGAAATTTTACTTGTTATAACTTTCTAAATTGCCTGTAATGGATTATAACTGCATTCTTTTATTTTGTTATGTATTGATTGGTGGTTTGGCGTACTCATTCGTTCGTAATATCTGATATGATAATTACGTATACGTGCGTTACTCATTATTAATGTAATATTATGTAATTTGTAATGTTTTATGCTTTATGCGTGCAATCTATAAATTACAACGAATGTAAAATCATTTTCACTTCAGATCAGAAATACTTTGGTAAAAAAATTTTATTTAAATACTATCTAACTTTCATTCCCTCATTTATAATAAGGAAGGTGATTTTCTTTCTTTATACACAATAATATTGTAAACTTTTTTTCGCAATTTAACAATGAAAATACCAGAATTAGATATATCGATATCAAATAAAGTAATAACTTCTACAATTTTATCCGACAAGGTTCAGTCTCCCACAACAGACAACATAATTAGCCTACCTCTCCTTCATAAAAAAACATCATCATCATCGCTAAATAGCATAATTTCACATAACAAAAATATCACTAACAATAATGATAATAAATTTATATTATTAAAAAAGGTACAACCATGGACTCCATTTATTGTTTGGGCTATATTATCTTTGATTACTTTAAGTATATTCTTGATTTATCATAAAGAAATTTTTTTAATATTAGATAAATTTGCTCATACAGTTAAGTTAATGGGTATTTTTGGTGTGATAATATTTTATTTGATGATATTTTTAACAACATTTCCATTAGTAATTGGATATAGTACATTAATTACTCTATCAGGGTTTATATTTGGATTTGGTATAGGATTTCTTATATCATATATAGCAGCACTTACAGGTGCTATAACAGTATTTTATTTAAGTAGAAAATGGTTTAAAAAATATGTTGGAAAAGTATTGCGTAAACATAAATCTATGAATGCTATTATTAAAGCAGTTGAAAAAAAAGGATTTAAGGTATGTAAAATATTTTCTTATTATTAATTATTAAAATAAAAAATAATAATATTATATAATAATTGTTTTTTCTTTTAATTGATTATTAGTTATTATTTTTAATAAGATTAGCACCTTATCCTTATAATGTATTAAATACATTATTATCAGCTACACATTTATCATTAAAAACATTTATTGGAGCAACTGCTTTATCCTTATTTAAATTAATGATACATGTTTGGATAGGTAGTAAATTATCATCTTTTTCTATACAATATACTTTTAAAGAAACTTCAGGATTATTAAAAGTAGGTTTAATGATTATTGGAATTGGTATTGGTATTGGCGTAATAATATATGTTTGGATTAGTGCAAAAAAAGTAATTAAAGAAGTTGAACAAGATGAAATTATAAATAATAATAATAAAGAAATATATATACCAATCAATAATATTACTACTATTAGACATAGAAGAGGAAGTAGTATTCATCAAGAATTTATAATTGATAATTTTATAATTAATAATGAAAATACTATTATTGAAGAAAATGATGATAATATCAATGAAAATAGTAATAATGAACAATTTAAATTAATTAATAATAATTAATTACAATCAATTACTAATAAGAACTTTTATTTTTTAATTTATTAATTATAAATAATAATTAACATATATAATAATTAAAATATGAATATTATAAAATCAAATTATAAAAATATTTAAAAATAATAAGTATTATCAGTTATATATTGTAACAGTTTATTTTTAATAATAAATAAAAAAAAATGGCTTATATTAATAATTTTTTTTTTTTTTTTGCAAGGTAGTGCAATTGTGAGTTTATTAATTATATAAAATACAGAATATCCTGTTACATGTATAATTAATTTGTTTAAAACTCCAAACTGGTTCCCATCCATAAGATTGCTCTCGTGCCCTACTATCACCCTATGAAATTCACCTATATCCTCCTATAGTAGCTATCAGATTATATAGAATCATCATAATCTATATTAATAATTTTTATAATTTATATAAATAAAAAAAAATTTAAAAATATAAATTTATAAGATTTTGTAATTTATTAATTTTTTAATGTATTAGTTTTCAATTTTTAGTTATTATTAAACTATATAATAAATAATATAACAAATAGGATTTTTAAAATATTATTTTTTTAAAAAATAGGAAATATAATATTAAATAATTATTTATTTTAATAAAAATAAAATTATATAAGTAATTTTAAAAGAATGAATATAAAGTTTACTTTTGCAAATTAAAAATATAATGGATAAGTAATAATTATAATTATAAATTAAAAATAACTGAAAATCTATAAAATTGTTATTTATATAATAAAAAATAATATAATATTTTAATTATAATTCATGAAAGATTATCTGCTTACAATGCAAATTTATATACTATGTAAATAAATATTTTATTGACAAATCATTTTTAATTAATTGTTAATAACAATAAAATGAATACTGATGAATATTATATATAAATTTTCTTTAAAAAAAATAATATAATATTATTTTAAAGTAGTTATATTAAATAATTTTATTTTAGTAAAAACTTTTAATTTTTATTATTTATAAAATTAATAAGTTTAAATTAGTATAATAATAAGAAAATAAGTTAAATCTTTACTTTTCAAATTATTTTTAATAATTTTTAGTATAATTTCTATATTTAATAATGCAAATTTATATGATTTTAATAAATGAAAATAATATACAATCAGCTCTTAATATAATAAACCTTTTAGTTTTTATTTCAAATTTATTATAAAATTATAGCAAAGAATTTAAAGAATTCAATTGACTAAGCAAAATTATATAATTATAATTACTTTGAGTTAAAATAATTAGTCTTATATTAATAATAAAATTATTGTATAGTAAAATCTTATATATAATTAATAAATTGCACTACCTTGCAAAAAAATAATAATAAAATATAGCAATCTTTATTATAAAAGTTAATTGTTTATAGACTTTATTTATATACAAATCTGTTTTACTATTTTATCATTTAATAAAATTAGATATTTGCCATTAAATAAAAAAAAACATGTATAGCTATGATTGTTTTATAACAAAGCATTACAAATGACTTTAAAACACAAAAAAAAAAAAAAAATTATTTGTTATACTTAATTTTTTATTATTTATTATATTTAAATTTTCTTTATCTATTATCTATTGTATTGATATTAAAAAATTTAAAACATTTTTTTTTTAAAATTACTAATTATTGTATTCTTATTTTTTTTTTGTAAATTACTTTATTTGTTACAATTTTTACAATTTCAATTTTATTTCTCCTAATAATGAAAGTATAAATAAAAGATTAATAATTATATTAATAATTTATTTACTAAAATGGTGAAATTTTGATTTGTAAACATTTATAAATTTTGTCAACAATTTCTTTTTTTGGGGCTTAAAATGATGAATAATTGATGATTTTGATTATTTTGAATTTTCCGATGAGAAAAAATGATAAAAATGATAAAAAATGTATGATAAATCAAAATTCCATCATTGGGAAAGATTGAATTCAAAATTTTTTTAAAAAAAAAAATTTAACCCGAATTCGTTAAAAATATTTCGTTAAAATAAAACTAAAAAGTTAATAAATTACCATTTACCAGTACATTTTATCATATTACATTATTGATTAATCAATCAAATAACCGTTTTTAATCAATCAAAAAAATTTCTCTTTATGTTAACAAAATAGGGAAATTTTCCATCCTTATGTAATTATGTAATACGGTTAATCGTTTAGGCTAAATAAATTGGATAAATTTTATGCTTTGTAACAAGTTATACAAGTTATACGTTATCAGAAAAACTTTAATAGACCGTGATTCTTAGTTCTAGAACTGTTCTCCAAACTTATTTCGGTTTCAACCATGGTAAAACGTTTTTCCCCATATCAAATTTTATACTTTTGGCGGAAAATTATTTATCAATCTCAGCAATCTTAATACTTTTTCGGGTTGTATTTGTATTAAATACAGAAGTTGATAAACTTATCGGTATTACATCTTTTTTTTTTTTTTTTAAAGCTCGTGTATTAATTTTACTGTTTATACTAGCGAAATAAAAAAAATGGAGTATATAAACAAACGAAAATCGACCACATTTCCATATTTACAGATCAAAAAAACATCCCTATATTATCCCATATTGTTTTTTATTAAAAAAAAAAATCATTTATAATTCTTTCTTATACCTTAGAAGGTTTAAAACAACGAGCACTATATATAAATATAAGTTCAATATAAAAAGTTATTTGGTTAGGTTACTCGATTACTCCTTCAAAACATTATTTTTAATTTATTTTATTTATAAAAAAAAAATAAAAAGAAAACAAAAACAATAATTCAAACTGGAGTGGGAATATATTAAAGGAAATAAAGTAATTGATAATATGGATTATCGATATCTTGGTCATAGCGGGCTCAAAGTCTCGGTTCTTTCTGTGGGAGGATGGGTCACTTTCGGTCAACAAATTTCACCAGGTGAAATAAATGTTTTAATAAATATATATTATGTCAAATGATTGTTTGATGAATTGAATTCGATCTAAACTTTAAAAATTTTTTTTTATATGTATATACATTAAATTCAAACTGAATTATTATTTTTTTTTTTATATGTATATACTGAAATATGTATATTCATTAAATTTAACCTGTATTCCAACCAAATTTATCCATTTCTTTGTTCATTCAATGAAGAAATGACTCTTAAAATCATGCAGATTGCTTTTGATAATGGCATCAATTATTTCGATACCGCTGAAGTTTATGCAGGTGGAAAATCCGAAATTGATATGGGTAACGCAATTAAAAAATTACAATGGAAACGTTCGGATTTTGTGATTTCCACAAAAATTTTTTGGGGAGGTAAAGGGCCAAATGATAGAGGTTTATCAAGAAAACATATAATTGAAGGTTTGGATGCATCATTAAAAAGATTGGGATTAGAATATGTTGATTTGGTTTTCGCTCATAGACCTGATCCTGATACTGTAAGTATTATTATAAGTCTGATATTATAAGTCATTAAGTTACATATTAATGTATTAATTTATTGTAAATTAATTTCTAAAGCCAATGCATGAAATAGTTCGTGCTTTCAATTATGTAATTGACAAGGGAAAAGCTTTATATTGGGGAACTTCAGAATGGTCGGCTCAACAAATCATGGAAGCTCATGGTATAGCTCATAAACTGAATCTCATCCCTCCTTTGGTAATTTTTTTTTACTTCAAACTTGATATAAAAAAAATATATATATATATATAATATCTCGTAAATATCTCGTTTATTAATCTTTTTTTTATAAAAATATTTTTTAATAGGCTGAACAAGTAAGTTGGAACATTTAAATAAATAAATAAATAAATATATTTATTTATTTTAGCTTTATTATTCTATTTAGGTTCAATACAACATGTTTCATCGTGAACGGGTTGAATCGGAATATGAATATTTGTTTAATGAATTTAAAATGGGTGCCGCTACTTGGTCACCTCTTGCTAGTGGAGTATTGACAGGAAAGCATAATGAACGTATTGCAGAAGATTCTCGAATGGCATTAACAGATAATGCTGTTATGAGACGTTTAAGAGAAGGTTTATTAAGTGAAGAAGGAAGAACCAAAATTGAAAAAGTGAAGAAATTGAAGGTAAATATATAAGTGTATATATACTAAAAAAATTTGTTTCACATCCATATTAATGATTATTTGATATAGCCGATCGCTGATAAAATAGGTGCTACACCAGCCCAATTGGCACTTGCTTGGTAGATTATCAAATTTTAAATCTTAGATCAATTTGATAAAGAAAATGATCATGTGACTGATTAAATTTTCCTCTTTTTTTTTTTAAAAAAAAAAGGTGTATGAAACATCCAAAAGTCAATACAGTAATTACCGGTGCATCCAAACCTGAACAAATGGAAGAAAACCTTCGAGCTGTTGCATTGTTACCAAAGTTAACACCTGAATTCATGGTAGAAATTGATAAAATATTAGATAACCTACCACCACCTCAATTTAATTTCAGAGATTCATGATAAATAAATTCCTGTAAATAGAAATTACATATTTTGGAATTTGTACTACAAATGTGTTAAATTATTGAATCAAAATTACATACGTTATTTTTATTATTATATCATTATTATTTTTTTTTTTCCATATAATTACATTTTTATCAAATTAATTAATTTAAATAAAAAAAAAATTTATAATTTTTCAAAATTATAATTATAACATTATAACTGGATATAATAAATATGTAAATCAAATATGTGAAAAACAAAAGAGTAAGTCGAAGATCAAGTAAATAATTTAATAATAATGTCAAAAAAAAAAAAAAAAATTTATTTTATTTTATTTTATTT